ATATGTGGAGAACTGTAATGAAGAAATTTAAAGTGAGACTATATTTAAAAATAAAATGAATGCTTCTTTTCTTCAAAAATAATTATTAGATATTTGTGTTTTAGGACGAATTTCATACAAGATTACTTTTTTGTCGACGAGGTTCAATTGCTGTGGCAGAGATGATAATGATTCCCAATTCTACTTTACTCTTGGTTCTACATCAGAATTGCAGAATAAACATACAATCTTTGGTAAGGTTGCTGGAGAAACTATATATAACATACTTAAACTTGAAGAAGCACTTGTTGATGAGGTAAATTTAATGTTTATAAGAAAATATATCAAGAATTGATATAAATATAATATTCCCCCTTTTTTGTAGAATGATAGGCCACTTTATGCTCCAAAAATGATAAAAGCTGAATTATCGAACAATCCATTTTCTGATATTATACCAAGAATAATAGTACAGGAAAGTGAAGAAGTAAAGGACAGTTCAAAAACTAAAACAGCAGGAGTAAAGTAAAAATCATATATGTTTGTAGCATTTTTCCATGATAGTATTATTTTTTGTAATGAAAAATTTTGTTATAGAAATTTCAATCTTTTATCATTTGGCAAAAAAGCAGAGGAATATGAATATGAGAATGTTCATAAGGATATGGTTTTTATAATGTGTGCATATAATTTGTAAATTAATTCCATAGAAGATTGTAATTAATGAAAAACTAATAGTATTATCAGCATCACTTCGAACATTTTGAGTAATAATTACACATATCCTATTATACGTAAATTATACTTATCGTTAGTAACAAATTATTAATGTTAATAACAAATTGTTCACACGTAAATTTATAATAAAAGTGAAAACATTAAGGAATTACTGGCTATTACTTGAACTTGGAACCAATTTGTGTCAAAATGTAACTATAATTTGCAAAAAGGTAATAGCTTATTACACTGATTGTTTATAACAAATTAATATTGTTAATAACAAATTGCTCGCAACGTATATTTATAATAAAAGTGAAAATATTAATAAATTACTGCCTACTACTTAACAAACGACGTATTTGTGTTAGAATATATTCGGAACTTACAAGAAGTTAATAAATTAATAAATTTATTGTTAATAACAAATGAAAATTGTTGATAACAAATAGTTTGCAACGCATATTAACGATAAAAGTCAAGAAAATTAATAAATTATTAGTTATTACAGCGGAAAAGTAACTTTTAAAGGAATCGGTAAAGTTCGGAAATTTTCGCCGATCTTCGGTCGGCCACCGCTATATAAGGGGCCCGCGTGCAGGCTCGAGCCAGTTGTCGCTTCGACTTCGGAGGGTCCGCGTTAATATTTTTCTTTCAGGTACTAATTATTTTTTGTTTCAGCTTTTAATTATCTTTCTTCTTTCAGATTCTATTTCTTTTATTCTAGATTTCATTGTTTGTGCATTCGAATATTTTGTACAATATTCGAATGCTTCGTCGTT